GTGTCCGTAACTTTGCTCGATAGTCTAACTGAAAGTCAAACTTGAAGAAGCCTGCACGGACCTGAGAGCAAGTCATGCACTTCACCACGGACACAAAGGGGTGCCCTTCAGTCTAAGCACTCCTCTTGTCCAGACAGACATATGATGCTTGTGTATTTGGGGGACCTCAGAACCAATTATTTGGTTTTCCATTATTTCTTACGAAAAAAATACTGTACGTTCAGTTCTTGAACTTTTCGGTATTTGAACATAAATATGGAACAAATTGAGTTCAACAACTGAGGCATCATTGTAATTCCTCTGAGCTCTTAGTTCCAGTACCTCTGACTTAGGAAACTGCTCGCTTAGGTGGTAAGATTAATGTCTCTTTTTTCCGTAGCACTTAACACATTTTAACATACTACATCACCTACTATAGTATCCTCCTGTTTATTATATTCAGTGTTTCCATCTGTCACCTTCATGAGGATATAAGCTCCATATTTATTTTCTTCATTGATGTAGCCTCAGAACTGCTAGGACAGCATCCAGCATACAGCATCCACTCAATAGAGCCAATTTATTGAATTAATTAGTGAGTAAACGATTTTAATCTCTGTGCATAAGGAGTCCATAAAGCAACAGGTGTAGATGGTTCATTCTGCAATATCTTCTGGACAAGTTTTAAAACCCAAAAAAGCAAATTTAGCAAGGGAGAATAGAAAGACTTCACATATTCATTCCATCACAGAAAAAAGTACTTTTTATTGCCACTGCCAGCAATTTTTTTATTTTTATGTTTGCACTGTTACATTTCAAATAAGGACGAAGTTATGTTGAGAAACAGACACAATGTTCAACTATTTTCAGAAAACTTCATGACTTTTGAAGAAGAGATAAGTGGAAATAGCTGAGATTTTCTTTCCCAACAGGATTAAAGGACGAATGGTATCATGGCCACGAAGCATCTTGGTGTACATCACAGCCTCCCACACCCTCGGCGGGGAGGCCGGCTGCCTACTCCCTTTCAGCTTCTGTGCACTATCCCCAACCTCCCGGAGCTTCAGCCTACTGAACACGCTGTGTCTAAGCAGGATTCGGGAGAACAGATTGTTTGAGGTTTGGATTCAGCATCAGACAAAATGAGATTTGGAACCTCGTGCTGCTGCTGCCTTACCTTCTTTCAACTCCATCACCAGTAAAAATATTCTAATCAAAATGTTTCACTTCCTTTCTGCCCGCTACCCTCCTTGCTGCCAAAAACTTTGGGATGCTTAAGCATTTCTGTTCTTGTCAATGGCACATGGCTACGACAGTGCTTTCCTCTCCCTGTAGGCTATAAAAATAGATTGGAGTAAAGGAGAAAACGAAACAAAATCTGAGAAGTATTTCCGTCTGTCCTGTATTGTTCCTCATTAAAAAAAAAAAAAAAATGTGACTATTTTCTCTTATTGGTACTGTTCTGGCTCAGAGACCATATTCATACCCAGACATAAAAATAAATCTACAAATACACACTACTGGGCGTGGTGGTGCATGCCAGAGGGTCACTGCAAGTTTCAGGCCAGGCTGCTCTGCATAGAGAGGCCCCGTCCCCAAAAAATGTCCAATAAAATAAATAAATGCACACTTCTGCTGGGAGTCTAAGGTCATCTCTTGTATAGATTTTATTCCATCATCTCCCGTACACTTATGCCCTCATTCTGAGAATCCAGTTAATTGAGCTTTACATCCAGGCTTACTCATTCCAGTTAATGTGCATGAAAAGCAGAAATCCACAACCAAATGGTAGTGTTGCTCTAAGTGATGACAAGAACAGAGCACTTTGCCCTTGGTATATTGAGCTAACTAGGTCGTTTCAGAGTCTGAGGATCTACTTTCTTCATTTTTCCAGTGGCATTTTTCAGGAAATTGAAGCAAAAGTATTATAGCTACAAATTTATAATTCCAAAGCTCAGTTTCTAAAAGTAAAACAAAAACATCAAAAGTTGAGAAAGACAGAAAGCAAACAATTCCAAGATTACTGACTGCATTCTACTTCTAAAAGTTTATGTGTAAGGTCATTTTTTTAAAAGAGAGCTTTTTTCTTTTATTATAAGAAAGAGGACTTTAATGAAAACTTAGCACAGAACTTGATGCATATTAGGTAATTTATGGATGTTTTCATTCATTTACTAGTATACATAATTGGCAGAGAAACATAAATGCCATTCCCTCCAGTGCCTTTTACATTAATCAGAAACACTAAAATTTCACTTCGTTTTTATCCACTTGGCACATGATTGAAGCAATTACATATACACCCAATACTGTATATGTATCAAACATCATTAGTTTATAAGCAGGGTTGGTTGCTACTCACAGAACAGAAATGCGAAGAGCATGGTAGCTCCCACCAGCAGCAAAGAGCAAAGCCCTGTCTGACATTTTGCCCATTTCTTGTTTTTTTCTTTATGTTTGTTTGGTACCGGGAATCGAACTCTGGACCTTGAGCTTGTGAGGCAGGCGGCGGCACCACTGAGCTAAATCCCCAGCCCTCTTTTTTTCTTTATTAAGGTATTTATTTATTATTGGCACATTTTAGGTGTACATTGTGGTCACATTCATCACTGGGAATCTGTACCTGTCCATGACAGATCTTGGTTCTTCTTTTCCTCCTTCCCCTGCACTCCCTTTCACCACTGCCCCCGCCCCCCGACCCTTCCCTATTTACAAATGACTTTGTTTCTGTTTTTCCTTCTTTTCTCATCATTTTTTCTTTCCCTTCTTTCCTTTCCCCTACCCCTCCCACTTCCCCTTCCCCTTTGGACCTTTTCTTCCTATTTCACATTGTCTATTACACATTTTGGTCCTCATTTACACTTTCAGTTTCTCACACCAGAGAAACTGTTCGGTATGTACACGTGTGTGTCCTATTTATTTCACTTAAGACTGTGGCCTCAATATGCATCCATTTAGCTATAACTATCTCTAGTTTATCATTTTTATGGTTGAGTAGTACTCCATTTAAAAAAAAAAATCTTCTCTATACAGTCACTAGTTGATGGGCATTTGGGCTGTTCTCAAGATTTTCCAAGCTGGGGTGCTCTAAGCATGGGTGCATATACATCACTTGCCCACTTCCCTTTTGATTTAAAGATTTTTCTTCATTTAAACACACAAGAATTCCTGCGAGAGGTGGTATCCTAAGCCAGCCTGTCATGTCCAGGAGGTTAGTAAAAATATGCTGGCCCCTTAAGGAGTGGGACAATTTTGATGAAGGGACAAGTGCAGTAGACCTTGGCACACCCAAGGAAACTTGCCGTTTATGGAAGGAAAGATGTGCCGAGGGGCAATGGGCATTCCTATGTCCCTGCTTTCAGCATCTTTCCAGGAACCACTCCCAAATGAACATCATGGCCATGCACCTGCTAGCTTTCTCTAGCCTGAGACAAATTCTAGAATGAAACAGACAGTATCGCTTAAAAATCAAATGTCATACACTGGCTTGCAGCAATTGTTTATTTTACAAAGTGAGTCTACATCCTTTCATCTCCACCACTTCCGGTCCCCTTTCTGCCTTGACGCTGCAGCCAAAGGGAATCTTTTAAAAATTCAGAGCTAACTATGTCATCACCTGCTCTTGGAATAAAGTCTACAAGTCCCTAAGCAAACTGCAAGGCGCTGTGCTCCAGTTTCTCCTGAATTCACCAGTTGCATCTCATAGGTAGCCCCCTGCACTCCTGCTATGGCCACTCTATCTTCCTTCTGCCACTAATGGTGTCCCATGTCTGCAGATCTTCTATCTAGAACAGTGTCCCCAGTGCACAATTCTCATACACTTACTCTTCAGGCTTCTGCTTAAATTTTAGTTCAGGGAAGCTTTTCTGGCCATGCCAAACTAGGTTAGAAAGCTATTAGACAATATAACAATTCCCTGTTTCCTCTTTTGTTCCATTTTCTAAAATTGTAAGAATAATATAATTATTAATTAATTACCCATATAGTGGTTTAATAGCTATCTATGCTCCAGGCTCTAATCTCCATGCAGAAGGAATCACATCTATCTTATTTATTACCCTGTTATGAGCCTAATATCATTCTGAGGCATAGTAGATACTGTAGTCCCTAAATATTTGCTGAATTGATAAATAAGATTGTGAGACCTCCAGGGAGATGTTGCCCAAGTGATATTTCTAGCAGAAATGGATTTCACTGAAAGGTGACAATCAGATTCAGTTATCCACCTTCTAGCAATAAAGTAAAAGTCCTAGAGGAGATGAAAGTGAAGAGCGGGCTTCCTCACTGGAGAACAGGAAATAACTCAAGTTAATTAAGGCAGAGGTCCATGAACAGTGCTTCTCACCTTTGGTGTGCAAGAAGTATTACAGAGTTACACATGTGATTCAGTTCAGCCCCACCTCAACATCAAATTGTTTCCAATAGCTAATGCAGGTCCTTACATCTTTTCTTCATCATACAGTGTCATATCTTCTGTCACCTTGGGAAGTAGACTAACATTTTCTAGTAGTACATTTTCCAGATCACATCTCCATTCCCCTCTTTATCTTTTTTTCTGTTTAGCTTCTTGTATTTTTCCATGCCCAATGTCTAACTTGAATATGACTGGATGTTAAGAAAAGTGTTTTTGGTAAAGGTTTATATCTACCCCACCATCCACAACAAAATAATTTACTTTCCCTTACTATGTAAAAAAAAAAAAAAAAAAAAA